GGGTTCATTCAGAATACCCTCGGTCTCACCGGAGGGAACCTGACCACCCATCTGCGGAAGCTGGAGGACGCCGATTACCTGGCCACCACCAAGGAGTTCATTGATTCCAGGCCTCGTACCTGGGTGCAGGCAACACCCGCGGGCCGCACCGCTTTCGCCGAATATCTCGCCAACCTCGAAAGGGTTCTCAAGTGGCCCCTTGACTCATAGTCGGAATTGCCAACGCGGGGATTTGTTACTTGGCTGTTAGCCCTTCGGCAAAGCCCGAAAAGTTGAGGGCGCGCCGCAAAGCGCGCCCTGTTTGTTGAAGTAATCTCGCTGGGTAATCCTGTTTGGATTGGGGGGATGCGGCAGAACCGTACACCGCAGAAGGACCGAACCCACCGACCACCCGCACCCCCCTGAATGACCCAGGCAGCCGCAGGAAGCGGGCAGCCTGTAGGATGATTCACCCTGTCAGCGGAAGAAAGCCTGCAACTGGACGGCCGCTACGAACATCCAGACAGGGATTGATCCCGCCGCCAGTAGCAAAGCGGTCGTCCCGCTAAAGTTCCTTTGCCAGAATAAACTTTTCATACCTGTATGCATCATTCCTCCTCTTGCATCCAAACGCCGCATTTCCGTATGGCATTTCATTACATGCACCTTACAAATATTCTCCACTAGCGGACCGAAAGCCACAACGGAATTGTATGAGCGCTTTATAAACAAAATGTACAATGATTGTTATTCACAAAGGTTCTATGTGAATTTGGAAATCAACGTTGGCCGCACGCGTATTTTGGCCGCATGCTTATAAGTATGGGCTACTATAGATTCCTTCCCGTAAGAGAGTGGCCTATCCGAATGTGATCTAACAAAAAATAAACATACTTAGGTGTGCATTTCAATGGCCGCATATAAAGACAGAGGATGCGTTACACCTGATATCGCGGTGGAGAGAATGACCAAAATAGAAATCAGGGACAGATCGACAGTGCGGAAAGAGACAATGTAAATGTAGTCGGCAGAGCCTGCAGGGGGCGATTGGGCTCATTTCCCCGAACGCATTACAGGCTGCAATGATCGCCGCAGTCCTCCTCGCGTCCCAGCAGTCTCCCAATGCGCATCCGGTTACGGGCGAAGGATCGGTAGAACCCGTCGAACAGCGGACGGGCGGGCCACCATCCTGTCCAGGCGATCAGCCATCCCAAGCCAGCCAGCCGGTATCCCTCGCGCAGGCTGGCCATTCCCTGCGTAAAGCTCCCATCCGGCCGCAAACCGTACAGCGCGGCGTCCACCTGCTCAAATGTCAGTCCGTAGGATTCAGCATCGAATTCCGGTGCCGACGTGTCAATCGCCTCAATCGCCTGTGGACAGCGGCGGTGAAGCCAAAGCACTTCCCGGCGGCAAATCGGACACGCCCCGTCGTATAAGAGTTTGTATTTGTCGCCGCTCCTCATAATCAGCAAAAGAGGGACATTCTCGCTCGCGTTCCGTCCGTCATTTAAGGACTGCCTGTTTCAGGGTTCGGGCCGGTTCTCCACAAAACTGCCACAAGAACTGCGAAACTCAAATCTACTTGCCCAGGATACTCGTATTATAATTGATATACTTGGCAATCCGGTGAGTCACACGCTATTCGGTGATCTGGAGCGCGCCCTGATCGCGCCGTCGCTGCCGCCCTAGTAGTGAGGCAGGACGGCGATTTTTTGCGCTCCCGGAGACCAACCAACGGAATGCTTGTGGAGAGAAAATGCGCTTTATAACTGCCATCGCCATCAGAAGACGGACAGTCACGCTGCTCGCGGTGATCCTCCTGCTGGCTGGCGGCGTTTTCGCCTACAACTCGTTGCAGGTTGAGCTGTTCCCAGAAATTGAGTTCCCCCTGGTGGTGGTCACCGCCTCGTACCCTTCAGCCGACCCGGAAGCAGTTGTCGAGAATGTGACTGAACCCATAGAGCGGGCCATTGAAGGTACAGATGGACTTGAGGGAATCCAGTCAACGAGTCTGGAGGGCAACTCCCTGGTCCTGGCGACGTTTGTGTATGGGACGGATATGGCAGAGGCGCAGATCGCCATACAGAACCAAGTGAACGTATTGAGCTTTCCTGACGGGGCGCAGACCCCGGAGGTGGCCCGGTTCGACCCGGACCAGTTCCCCGTGATTCAGTTCAGCGTAGTTTCCAATAGCGGGGCTGACGAATTATCCGAATTCGTGCAGACCAGGATTCTGCCGGAACTCAACGGAATCGACGGCATCCAGCAGGTCACTGTCACCGGAGAAGTCGAGCGGCAAGTGCAGGTATCTGCCGACCCAGGTCGCCTGCTGGAAAATGGAATCGCACTTCCCCAGGTCGCAGCGGCCCTCAGCGACAACAACGTTACGCTACCTGCAGGATTGATCTTCGGCGCGGGAAGTTCGATGCCCGTGAAGACGATCCACACCCTGGGATCGGTGGAGGAAATTCGCGACCTGGTGGTCGGTTCCTCTAAGACCGGGCCCGTGCGTTTGGGTGATGTGGCCGACGTGCGGCTGACAGACGGGACGCCAACCAGTATCTCTCGCACCAACGGCAAGCCTGCGATCAACGTGTCTGTCATTAAAGACGCGGAGGCCAACACAATTGAGGTTACCGACGGAGTCCGCGAGGCAATAAACAGCCTGGAGGGAATCCCGCCGGGCGTTGATATCGTCATAGTGTCAGACCAGGGTCCGGAGATACAGACCCAGATCGACACCCTGCTGCAGGAAGCGCTTTTCGGATTCCTTTTCGCGGTGGCCGTGGTGTTCATTTTCATGCTCACCATCCGTCCGACGGTGCTGCGCGGCTTCCTGACCACACTGCGCCCCACCGTAGTCATAGCCCTGTCCATACCGCTTAGCATATTCACCGGAATACTGCTGATGACCTGGCAGGATATGACACTCAACTTCATGACCATGGGCGGGCTGGCCATATCGGTGGGCCGCGTCGTCGACGATGCCATCGTCGTCCTGGAGAACGTCTATCGCCACATACAGGCGGGCCGGGAACGATGGCGCGCGGCACTGGATGCCACCACCGAGGTCGGGCCTGCCATTCTTGCCTCGACGCTTACCACGATAGTGGTGTTCATACCCCTGGCATTCATCTCAGGCCTGGTGGGTTCCTTCTTTTTGCCCTTTGCCCTTACCGTGGTGTTTGCCCTTGCAGCGTCGCTGGTGGTGGCGCTGACGGCAGTGCCGGTCCTGGGTGCCTACCTGTTGCGTCCTGGCGACCTGCCGGAAGAAGCGGGAGAGGATGACATTACCTTTGTCAACGAGACCTGGATGCAGAGGATATACACCCCGATCCTCCGCTGGGCCCTGGGACACAAGGCAATCACCATCATCGCTGCCGTGGTCATTACAGTGGCCAGCCTGGGGCTGCTGACACAGATTCCGGTAACCCTGTTCCCCAGCGGCGGACAGCGATACGTGGAGGTGAACCTCACACTTCCTCCCGGAACACCCCCCGACCGTACGCTTCGGGAGGTAATACAGATCGAGGATGACATACGGAACATATCCGAGATCTACACCGCAACCGTGGGCGCCACCGATCTGGGCAGCGGAGGAATACCCTCCTCGTTCAACCAGGCAAGCCTGTTCATCATTCTGAACTCCGAGGCTCCTGAAGACGCAGCCGGCTACCTGAGAGAGCGGCTTCAGACTCCCGGCAGGCAACTGAGAATTACTGAGCTGGAGGATGGCCCTCCCAGCGGCGGGGTGGAGATCAGCATCGCAGGAGCGAACTATCAGGACATCACCAGGGTTTCCCAGGAACTGGTCACGTCCCTGAGCACGGTGGACGGGGTGGTTAATCTTTCCAGCAACATCTCCCAGGCCAGGGAGGAGGTTGCGGTCGAGGTTGACCCGTCGGCAGCCGCCGCGATCGGCCTGTCCTCCCGCGAAGTGGGGTTGCAGCTCAGCCAGTTCCTCGTGGGACGATCTGTTACCACCATCAACATCGACGGAAAGGGCACCGAGGTCGTGTTGTCCGGCGGGCGCGAATCGGTAAGAAGCCTGGACGGGTTGAGGGGCCTGATCATCGCCGGTCCGGGCGGAACGGCTCCCCTGGATGAGCTGGCCCGGCTCACCACTCGAGAGGGCCCGGTGAGAATCAGCAGGACCGACCGACAGCGTTCCGCCAGCATCACCGGTGAAATCACGGCCGAGGACACTCAGGCGGTGGGAGCGGAAATCGATCAGAGGATCGCGGAACTCAATCTGCCGCCAGGGGTGGCGGTTACTAGCGGCGGCATTTTCGCCGACATTGCCGAGGGGTTCCAGGCTATATTCCTGTCCATGGCCGTTGGCATCGCTCTGATGTATTTGGTGATGGTTGGCAGCCTTGGGTCGTTGCGAAATCCCTTTATCATTATCACCAGTCTGCCCCTGGCGCTTATTGGGGTGACGGTGGCATTGGCCATCACCGGCCGAACCCTCGGGCTGCCGGCAATGATGGGGCTGTTGCTGTTGATCGGGATCGTGGTGACCAACGCCATCGTCCTGATCGCCTTCGTCGAGCAACTGCGGGAACGGGGCATGTCGGTGACCGACGCGCTCCTGGCCGGGGGGCGGGTAAGGCTGCGACCGATCTTGATGACCGCGCTTACCACCAGCTTCGCACTACTCCCGCTGGCGACCTTTTCCGGCGGTGAGGGCGGCATCATCAGCGCCGAACTGGCAACGGTGGTAATAGGAGGGTTGATAAGTTCCACTGCCCTGACTCTTATCGTTGTACCGGTCGTTTACTACCTGTTCAACGTCAGCATACCTTCGCTTTTCGTACGGGTGTTCCCCCGGTCAATGGCCGTTTCGCAGGAATAGCGGGGCGTCCTACTTAGTTAACGGGCCGGTCAGAAATGCCACGGCAGCGACAGTCTCAAAGTTGCCCGAATGCCGGATAAACGATATAGTAAGGAAAGATTCCGAATTCATTCAGGCAGGTGTCCCGGCGCCTGCCCGGCGGCGTTCAAGCCCCCCGGAGCGGTTTATGTTGACACAGCAAGAGTTGGTGGAGCGGATGCGGGAGTGGGCCGTCCGGGTTACTCCGCAACGGTTGGCCATTGCAGAAGTGGTTCTCAATTCTCAAGACCATCCCACGGTACAGCAGATCTACGAAAGGGTGCGTGATCACTTCCCATCGATGACGCTTGCAACCATATACTCGACGCTGGGTGTGCTGCAGAAGAGCGGGTTGATCCAAGAGCTTCCTTTCCAGCGCCAATCGCGCTACGAGCCCAACATGGAACCCCACGTAAACCTTGTTTGCATCGAGTGTGAAAATGTCATCGATGCCGACACCTCAAGCGACGTCCACGACATGGTCGTGAGTCTGCGCAACAGCGTCACCGAGAGGTCCGACTTTGAGGTGGGCTGGCAGAGGGTGGATTTCTACGGCCTTTGCCCGCGCTGCTCAGCGGCCAAACGACGCGGAGAGTTGGCGGAGGTATAGTCCGAGCCGACTCTGGCCTTCCCGGAATAATTGAGCAAACCGGTCGGTGTGACGCACTGGCCGGTTTCGCTTTTTCGGAGGTTGCCGAGATGATTACGGGTGTCGTGGGTGTCACTTTCTGGACCGACGACCTGGAAAAGATGTTCCGTTTCTACAACGACGTACTGCAGCTGCCCCTGCATTCCCGGCATCCTGACTTCATTGCCTTCGAGTTGGGTGAAGTTCGCTTCAATATCGGTCTCCACAACCGGGTGTCCGGTAACTCCAGCGACCCTTATCGTTTCATGCCCCACCTCGGCGTGGCCGACATCCACGCCGTCGCCGCCAGGCTGGCCGATGCGGGCGTCGAATTCATCCGCCAGCCGGAACAGGAAAGCTGGGGCGGATGGGTCGCCACCTTTCGCGACCCAGACGGCAACACACTGCAACTGCTCCAGCTGGTCTGACCCCGTTCCACCAATGATTGAGTGCGGAGCTTGACCCGCGGGAAACGGTTCGGCAATGCCGGGCTCGTCGCAGCTTGCCCTGACTGTCGTTGTTGCGGTTTCCTCGATTTTGGGCATACTTATACGCGTTCGAGCCGGACGTCAACTTTCGCTGCGAGAGGGGCATTCATGTTCTTGGGCAGTCTGGGAATTCAGGCTGTTTCCACGGCGGCTAGTCTCCGGTTCTTCGACTGATTGGCATCCCCCTAACGGATCGTGGAGGTCACGAGATGGCCCAGGCGAACAAGGCACAAAGAGCGGCGGAATACCTGTTTGAGGCGCACCGCCTGCGACAGAAATACGAAGCGTTGCCCGACGACATCTCCCCCGTCACCATCGACGAGGCTTACGACATGCAGGATGCCTTCCAGGCGCTGCTGGCGCCGGAGCGCGGGGCGATCGTCGGGTACAAGATAGCGCTGACCACTCCCGTGATGCAGCGGATGGTCGGGTTTGACGCCCCAGCCGCCGGAGCGGTCTTTGAAAGCGGCGTGCATCACTCCCCTGCATCGGTGATGGCCGCGGATTTCGTGCGCATAGGCGCCGAGTGCGAGGTCGCCGTCCGGCTGACGGCCGACCTGCCAGCCAGCGATGCCCCCTATGGCCGAGACGCCGTTGCCGGGGCGGTCGGTGCGCTGATGCCCGCCTTTGAGCTGGTGGACGACCGTGGGGCCGATTACAGCAACCTGTACTTCTTGGGAGTGGCCGCTGACAACGCCTGGAACGCTGGCGTGGTACTGGGGCAGGAGAAGTCAGACTGGCAGACCCTTGACCTGGAAAACTCCCGGGGAGCTATGACCATTAACGGGGAACCAGCCGGCGAGGGTTATGGGCGCGACGTGCTGGGGCACCCGCTGGACGCCCTGGCCTGGCTGGCCAACACTCTGGCGGGTCGCGGCAAAGAACTCAAGTCGGGGATGTTGGTGATGACCGGCAGCATCGTGAGTACAAAGTTCCTGAACCCCGGCGACGAGGCGGCCTTCACCTTCGAGGGCCTGGGGGACATCCAACTCAGCGTTGGCTGAAAGTACGTTCAGAATCCGGAGCCTGTCGACTACTGCTACAGAATCAGCATCGCATCACCAAAGCTATAGAACCTGTAGCCCATGCCCACTGCCTCCGCGTACGTTGCCAGCATCATCTCGCGCCCCGAGCCTCCCTCGCCTGCGCTGTGCTGGGCGAATGCGGAAACCAGCATAAGCAGTGTCGACCGTGGCAGATGGAAGTTCGTGATCATCGCGTCCACGGCCAGGAACCGGTGGCCGGGCAGGATGTAGATGCTGGCGTTGCCTTCCACCGCCTTAAAGAGGCCGCCAGGAACAGCGGCGTCAGTTGCGGCCTGCTCCAGCACTCGCACGCTGGTGGTGCCGACAGCGACGATCCGGCGGCCATCGGCTCGGGCCCGGTTCAGGTTGTCAGCGGTTTCCCCGTCTAGCGAGTACCGCTCGGTGTGAATGTGATGCTCCATCGGGTCCTCACCCTGCACCGGACGGAATGTGTCCAGACCCACGTGCAGCGTTACGAAGGCAGTCTCGACTCCCGCATCCCGGATGCGGGCAAGTAGCTCCGGCGTAAAGTGCAGCCCGGCCGTTGGGGCGGCGGCACTGCCAGGTTCCCTGGCGTACACGGTCTGGTATCGCGCAGGATCGTCGAGAGGAGTGCGAATGTAGGGCGGCAGAGGGGTGTGGCCCATTCGCTCTATGGCGTCCTCCGTCGACAGCCGCACCGCTTTCAGGCCCGCGGATCTCGACTCCAGTATCTCCACCGAAAGGCCGGGATCGGGTAAAGCATTCACTCCCAGGTGGCCCGGCGGCTTGATGCTGACGGTCATTCCGGGCCGCAGCCGACGTGCCGGACGCGCCAGGGCCTCCCAGATTCGGTCGCCCTCGCGGCGGAGCAGCAGCAGCTCCACCTTGCCGCCGTTGTCGTCCCGGACGCCGAACAGCCGCGCCGGTATCACGCGGCTCTGATTGAAAACCATCAGGTCGCCGGGGCGGATATAACTGAGGACGTCGCCAAAATGCCGGTGCGCTATCCCGCGTGTTGCCCGATTCAGAACCAAAAGGCGGGAGGAGTCGCGCGGCTCAGCCGGCGTTTGCGCGACCAGCTCTGGCGGCAGGTTGTAGTCAAAGTCGCTGGTTTGCGCACGGGTTGTGGAACGACCCAGACCTAACCCGAGTGGTGACGGCCGTGGATGCTGATTCGGGCTGCGGTCAGTGTGTTCACCAGCAGCATGGCAATGGTCATTGGACCCACGCCGCCCGGAACGGGCGTAATTGCAGAGGCCTTCTGCGATACGGACTCGAACTCCACGTCGCCCTTCAGACGATAACCGCGCCGGGCCGAGGGATCGTCCACCCGGTTGATGCCCACGTCGATCACCACCGCACCATCCTTTACCATATCGGCCGTGATGGCCTCCGGACGGCCTATGGCGGCCACAAGGATGTCCGCGGCACGGGTGACCTCGGCCAAGTTCCTCGTGCGGGTGTGGCAAACGGTTACCGTGGCATTGCCGCCTCGCCCCCGCTGCATCAGCAGGGCGGCCAGCGGCTTGCCCACGATGTCGCTGCGCCCGCATATCACCGCGTTGGCGCCAGTCGGGTCGTGGCCGTTACGCATCAGCAACTCAACGATCCCGGCCGGAGTGCAGGGCGCGAAGTCCGGGCGGCCCTGCAGCAGCTTGCCCAGGTTGTAGGGGTGAATTCCGTCCACATCCTTGTCCGGGTCGATGGCTTCAATAATGCGATGCTGTTCGACTCCATCAGGCAGAGGCAGTTGCACGAGAATGCCGTGGACCCGCGGGTCTTCATTGAATGCGTGGACCGCAGCTAGGATTTCCTTCTCGGTCGCGCTTCCAGGAAGGCGCGCTGAATCGCTATACAGGCCTGCTTGTTCACAAGCCCGTTGCTTGTTGTTCACGTAGACAGCGGAGGCAGGGTCGTCGCCAACGAGGATAACGGCCAATCCTGGTGTTACCCCGTGCTTCTCACGTATCTCGACGACACCCGCAGCAACCTCGGCGCGAATCTCCGCCGACAGGTCCGTCCCCGACAGAATCGTTGCCGCCACCGGCACATCTCCCCACATGGACAGCTGAAGAAATTGTATCACGGCATTTCGCTGGGCCAGTCCCCAAGAAACTCTCGTAGTGATCTGGTCCTTAATTTCGAGAATCGTCGAGGGGAGGGATAACGGTATTAAAGAATGCAAGGGCTACCGGCCCCATCCACTCCCTGGATACAAAATTAGCGGATTTTACCTGCCGTCATCTGAATTTGCCATTCTATTAAAGCGGAAAGGTCAGCCGTCGCTGAGCCTGCAACAGGCTTGTTGGGAAAGATGCCCCGGATTACAGGGCCGCAGGTCTGCCGGGTGGGGCAGGATATGCTGCCCCGGGAACGGCTCGGGCCGGACAGGTTGCCGCGATGGCTTGAGGATACGCTCCATAGAAACGAACGGACCAGGTGCTCACGTGCCCGGCGCCGAGCCTCACCGCACATCCCGCCTTCAACTGGCGTTCCAATACTGTTGCGACGCTGAGATTCATCCAGGAACCCTTGATTCTCATCTATTTCCTGCAGGTTCTCAGCGAATTGCTCCGCCATGTGGGCGTAAAGACGCAAAAGGTCTTCCAAGTTAACGATTCTGTCTGGACGCCGACTCCGGGCAGTCGATTATTCCAGTAGCCTTGAATTCGCCGTCAATCCTGAACTAAAAATTCATTTCCCTCTGGACCAGTCCTTATTAAGTGGACTTGCCCACCTGAAGGCGGGCGAGCTAAGACCCCACCCGGTTCGGATCCTTCTCAAGCAGCTCTATTCGGATGTTCCCTGGGGCCACAACGAATGCGATCCGGACGCCGGGGCGGATCTCGTGGGGCTCGGAGGTAAAGTCGGCACCCTTGGCCCTCAATTCGGCGGCGGCCTCGTCCAGATTCTCCACGCGCAGGCCGAAGTGGTCCAGTCCTTGGTGCGGATGGTCGGCGCTGGGGGTGGCGTCCGCCGCGCAACGGGCTATGAATATCTCCAACCCGTTCAGGTCCAGGTCCACACGGGAATTCCCGTCCGACTGCACCGACTCCACTATGCGCGCGCCGAACATCTCGTTGAAATACCGTGCCGTCTCGATTGGCTCCTGGCTCAGCAGGTGGATGTGGTCATAGGTGAAGAAAGCCATCTTTGCACCTCTCTCAGAATAAAATGCCCTCTCCCAACGGGGAGAGGGCTTCGATCAGTGTAATGACCCGAGACTACCGGGCCAGCCCGTAGGGTATGGCCTTGACCGCAGGGTCCTCCGACTCGCGCATCGATTCGGCCAGCTTGACGATAAGAGCGCTCATGGCCGTCTCGCTCCAGTACCACTCGTGGATCTCAAGGTCTTCCGCTCCGGGCCGCTGTTCCATCCGGGCCTCGTAGTAGAAGGCCTTCAGGTCGTCCACGCAATACCTGATGAACTGCGGGACGCCAACATTCCCGGGCCGTCCGTCATAGTCCGTATCCTCCCCGGCGGCATAGGCCTCCAGGAATCGAACGATGCCGCGGAACCGTCGCTGCGGCACGCCGCTGATGCCCACCGCTGTTCGACCGCCATTCTTCTCCACCCAACGCTCGTAGTAAGGTCGCAGCGACGTCAGCTCGTCGGCGGGATTCAGGCCCTTCGCCGCGTCGGAGCGCGCGACCACTGAAGACTGCAAGAGGTCCCCCGCATCGTGTCGTCCTCGAATTCCTCCAGCACCGGACCGCTCTCCGCATCCAGCAGGTCGAAAGTAGCTTCAGTATCTGGTGCTGGAGGAGTGGGTCGCCTGAACGCCCGAGGGCGTTGCCAAAGGCGTAGGGAACCCAGAGCATCCGCGGGGGCTTGGTCCTCTCGGCGTGTTCTTTAACAAAAACGACGCCGGTCGTGCTCATTCCCGCCTCCTCGAAACACCGTGCCAGCACGCTGACCGCGTGCGAGCAGAGGGGTCAAGTGGGTGTCAGGAAAACGACCTCCACTCCCTCGTCCAACATGCGCCGCGCCACTTCGGGCCCTGTCTCATTCGACAGCTTGGTGGCGTCGCGGATGGCGCCCATGAACGAGTAGTAGTTGTCGGCCAGCGAACCGATCACACCCTGCTCCTGTAATTCCTCCAGCCGGTCTGTGGGATAGGTCACGTTGATGTCCCGGTAGATGCCAGTGTGGTCGAAGCCGATGCTGACGTGACTCTGGATTATTTCCGAAGCCGGGGTACAGCGCGGCAACACCCGGTACGAGGAGTCGCCACCTCCCTGAATATCCGAGATGAAGGGCTTGTCGTCTCGCAGGTGCAGCCCTGCCGATGTGACCATCGCCACTTTGCTCTCGCTCAGCGGCTTTCGCATGGGTGTCCACGGGGCGTCGTCGTGCTCCATGCACGGGAACATCTGCAGCATCCGACGCTGCACTTCGCTCAGTGTCTCAAGCCTGGGCATATTCGCACTGCCGTATGAGTTTGTATCCGAGTGACCCGATATCAGTCTGAAAAGCCTGGAGGCAGGTTTGGGTTATTCCGTCTCCATCGCTCTTCGATCCGCCAACTTCCTATGCGTCCCTACTGCTGCGGCACCATCGAGTTCTCAACAACCCGCAGATATATGTGGAGCATGTAGTGTAGCCAAGCCGCCATGTCCGACCAGTTTTCCGTGTCAGAGACGTCGAAATCCCTCCGGGCGTCAAATCCACCTTCCAGATCTTCCCATTCGGTAGCTGGCTTATCCTGGAGCCGCCCGTCGAAGGCGTCGTTCAGAGCCTTCCAGAACGATTCCTTATATATATGAATTCGCGACTTCGACTCGGCCAGAGACTCGCCCCTTCTTCCCCGGAGCCAGAGTCCCGCTCCCCAGTGGTAGACGGCCAGCGAAACGTTTAATCCAGTGGAGCCAACTGGAATCCAGGCATACGCTCTGCCCCATCCCGGGCTGATACCGTCGTCCGGATAGAGCTCCGCGTAGCGCGTCCAGAAGTCCCGCCGAAACTGGATGGCTTCAGTTGTCATACTTGCCTCCAGCGCCTCGAAACAGGTGTTGGTCGGGCGGTGTGTCGCCACTCCCGGCATTGCAGCAGTGCGTAGCGCACGGCGTACTGCTAACGGGCGAGCGTTGTGCTATCGTAGCGTTGGGCGCTACGGGTGTCAAAATCCTTCCCTCAGTGATTTGGAGTTGGACCTTATGACTCCGACCGTCGTTATTGCCGGCGTTCGCAGCGGGGTGGGAAAGACCACCATCGCCACCGGCATCATGGGCGCCCTGACCCGCGGGGATACACCGTGCAGCCCTTCAAGGCCGGCCCCGACTACATCGACCCGTCCTACCACCAGGTGGCCTGCGGCGTCCCCTCACGGAACCTGGATACCTGGCTCTTGCCGCACACCACGGTCTTGGAACTTTACGCCAAGGCATCCTCGAAACGCCGCATTTCCGTGATCGAAGGAGTGATGGGCCTGTTTGATGGTCATTCCAGTCTCACCGAGGAGGGATCCACCGCCCAGCTGGCCAAGCTCCTTGGCGCCCCGGTGATCCTCGTCGCCGACGCCTCCAAGGTTGCACGCAGCGTCGCAGCCGAGGTGCTTGGCTACCAGCAGTTCGACCCTGATCTAAACGTGGCGGGCGTCATCCTCAACGGAGTCGGCAGCCCGGCCCACCTGGAATTCTGCAAGCCACAGGTCGAGGCCACCACCGGCCTGCCCGTACTGGGTTACCTTCCTCGGCGACCCGACTTCGAGCAGCCTGAGAGACACCTGGGACTGATTCCCACTGTCGAAGGCACCGTGGCCAACCAGTGGTATGAAGCCATCATCGCCCAGGTCGAGGAGACCATCGACATCGGGCGGATAGCCGAGCTGGCCCAGTTGTCCGCGGCGCCATCGCCCGTTGACGGCGACGGAACGCGGGTCTACCCGCAGGAGCCACAGCCCCGGCGTGCCGTGATTGCCGTCGCGCAGGACAAGGCCTTCAACTTCTACTATCAGGACTCTCTGGATCTGCTGGAGGCCTGGGGTGCCGAGATCGCTCCGTTCAGCCCACTGGATGATGAGTCTCTGCCCGCGCGCGCTGGCGGCGTCTACCTAGGGGGCGGCTTCCCCGAGATGTTCGCCGCCGAACTGTCGGCCAACCGCCCCATGCTTGAGTCTATCCGGCAGGCGGCGGCGCGCGGAATACCGGTATACGGGGAGTGCGGCGGACTGATGTACCTCGGGCGCAGCCTGACCGGTTTCGACGGGCGTGCCCACTCCATGGCGGGGCTGCTGCCCGCCGTGTCGGCGATGTCCCAGTCACGCCTGTCCCTCGGCTACCGCGAGGTGGAGGCCCGCGCCGACGGCCCGTTGCTTTCAAAGGGTCAGCAGGTGCGAGGCCACGAGTTCCACTGGTCGACGCTGGAGGAGCCTCCCGACGAAGGCGAATCGGTGTACCGGGTCGTCAATCAAGGCGGCCGCCCCGACGGCTTTCAGTCCGGCAGCGTTTGGGCCACGTACGTTCACGTGCACCTGGGCAGCGCGCAGGGACTTGCCTCACGATTCATCGACTCCTGCGCCGCCCACAGCAGGATCTGACCAAACAATTCCCTCTCCACAGCGAGAGGGCGAGGTAGGGGAAACTTACAATGACTGCAGGCAATCAGGACACCACCGGCACGAGGACGGAACCCGCCCCCCAGTCGGTGACCGGCCCCTCGCATCAACAAGGGCCTCGTCATCGTCAACACCGGCACCGGCAAGGGCAAGACCACCGCCGCCATGGGCGTCATGCTGCGGGCCTGGGGCCGTGACATGAAAGTCGTCATGCTCCAGTTCATCAAGCACACCACCGCCAACTTTGGCGAACAGCGCGCCGCAAAGAAGATGGGCATCGACATGATCGCAATGGGCGATGGTTTCACCTGGCGCTCCAGGGACCTGGAGCAGACCGCCGACCTGGCCCGCGAGCACTGGCAGGGCTGCAAGGAGGCCATCGCCAAGGGTGAGCACGACGTCGTCATTCTTGACGAGTTCACCTACGCGATGCACTACGGCTGGATCCCGGTCGAGGAGGTGCTGGAGGTGCTGCGCAACCGCCCCGAGATGATGCACGTCATAATCACCGGCCGCAACGCCCCGCCCGAGTTGGTGGAATTCGCCGACCTCGTCACCGAGATGACCCTCGTCAAGCACCCCTACCACGAGGGAATCAAGGCCCAGCCCGGCATAGAGTTCTAACCTCGCTGGACGCTTCTGAGCGGGGCAGATAGAATCACCGGATACGAGTCGGATGTAAAGGAGCAGGCGCTATGACAGCCATCAGAGACCAGGCAGTGGGCGGGAGCCAGTTCAACGGGCAGTTCGGGCCCCCATCGGAGCGGGCGGTCAAGAAGCTCAAGGGCCACCTCACCCCGTGGGTCCAGGAGTTCGTCAGCGCGGCTCCCTTCGTCGTGATGGCCAGCGCCGATGCCGATGCCGCTGCGACGCCTCGCCCAAGGGAGGCAAGCCGGGCTTCGTCAAGGTCATCGACGACTCATCGCCTGCTCTTCCCCAGATGTAGCCGGGAACAAGCTCTTCCAGTCCTACCAGAACATCGAGGCGAGCCCGTATGTCGGCCTGATCTTCTTCATCCCCGGCATCAACGACACCGTCCGCGTCAACGGCCGCGCCAGCGTCGTCGGTAAGGACGAGCTGGACAAGCAGAACATTGAGCTTGCCCTCTACGAGACCGACGACAACTCCCGCCACCTCCAGGGCCTGCTCATCGAGGTGGAGGAGGCCTACAGCCACTGCCCCCGCGCACTCAAGTTCTCCAAGCTGTGGGACGCTGAGGAAGTGGCCGGCAACCGCTCCACCCCTCCCATCAGTGAGCGTACCGATGAGAACTACTGGGGCCACGAGGCGGAAAGTTAGGCGAAGGTGGGAACTTTCAGCGTCCCCCTCACCGTTGGCAACTTGACCACTGGTGCCACTGAAACCGTAAATGCCCTGGTCGACACTGGGGCAACTTACTCAATGATTCCGGCATCCACGCTGGAACGAATGGGGATAGCACCCGCTCGTTCGAGGCGGCTACGAATTGCCAACGGCGAAAGAGTCGAATACCAGACTGCCTTGGCCTACTTCGAGACTGGGGGGTTCGAAGGGGAGGCCAGAGTGGTCTTCGGTCCGGAAGGTTTATACCTGTTGGGTGCAACAGCGCTGGAAGACATGCTTCTGGTAGTGGACCCGATTGGAAAGAGACTGGTACCGGAAGAAGCCTTGCTGATGTAGAGCCCGCACCGGTTGAGTCTGCCTAACGGAACTTATACGTCATCCAACCCTACACTTAGGAAGTTTGTTGATGGTCACCATCGCCTTCGAGCAGCACAGGCTCTCCAACGGTATGGACGTCATCCTCACGAGGACCACACCATCCCGTTGGTGGCGGTCAACGTCTGGTACCACGTCGGCTCCAAGAACGAGGAGATGGGCCGCACCGGCTTCGCCCACCTTTTCGAGCACGTGATGTTCGAGGGCACCAAGCACCACAATCGCAGCCACTTCGAAACGCATGCCAGAAGCCGGCGCACAACCTCCCTCAACGGACTCACACCACCGAACCGCCACCAACTTAATGGAGGATTTTTTTGTGTAGTGATGGTTTTTGTTGGCGTTTTTTGTAGTGTTGTCTTAATTTGTATTGTGTTTTTTTGTGTGTATTGTTTGTCTTTGACTTTTTTCTGTTTTTTTAGATGGTTGGAAATTTTTTTGTTTTGTTTTTGTTTTTTTGTATTGAGGTTTGGTGTATGTCGGGGGTTTTGTAGGTGACCGTTTTTTCGTTGATTTTGTGGATGTTTGTGGTGGTTGTGTGTGTGGGTGGGGGGGATTGGGGGTTACGAAGTGGGTGTGTGGTATTTTTTTTTGATGTTGTTTTGTGTTGCTGGTGGGCAGTCCAAACTACCTCGAGCTGGCACTGTGGCTCGAGGCCGACCGCAGGGGTTTCCTGCTTGACGGCCTGGACCAGCAGAAGTTCGACCTACAGGACGTCAGCGCACGATTGTGGTCAAGAACAGAGCGCGCGCAGTCTACGGAAAACCGCCCCTACGGCTATGGCCATGGCTGGCACCTCAGGCACCGCCCTGTTCTGCCGTCACCCGTACCACGGGATGTGACCATCGGTCCCAGGAGGACCTGACGCGCAGCTTGGACGATGTGAAGAATTTCTTCCAGCGCTTTTACGGCCCCTCCAACGCCAGCCTCGCCATCGCCGGGGACTTCCGCGCGGACGAAGCCCTCGAGCTGGTCAACGGCTACTTCGGCGACCTGCCCCCGGGAGAAAGCGTGCCCCGCATCGAACGCCAGGACTCGCTCCTGTCCGGCCGCGTGGACATAGAGATGCGAGACAAGGTAACCCTGCCGCGCCTCTACATCGCCTGGCCCGCTCCGCCCGAGGGACACCCGGACGACGCGCCGCTGGAGCTCTACCAGGCGGTAATGTCCGACGGCCTCAGCTCGCGCCTGCACCGCTCGCTGGTGTACGAGAAGCAGATCGCCCAGCACGCCTTCATCCGCTACGTACCCTCCGAGATCGCCGGGCAGCTCCTGGTGCAGGTGACCGCCGCCGAGGGACACAGCCTGGACGAGGTCGAGGCTGCAGTCGAGGCTGAACTCGAGCAAAGCTCCATCGCACACACCCACCACCAGACTCCCGAAGAATCGAAATCATCCGCTCCAAGCACGCGATGAGGCCACCCACTTCCGCCAGTTCGCCCGCATCGGCGGCTTCGGCGGGCGGGCCGACCAGCTCAACCACTTCAACATCATCGAGTCCAACCGGTGGATGTATCAACACCAGCTCCGTCGGACGCTTGCCTACGCCGTTGCAGCGCGAGGATATCCTGCGGTCGCCCAGGCCTACGTGGGCGACAACCGAGTGCGCCTGCGGGTGCTGCCCGACACGCCGCTCTCGGCTGCATCGACCACCATCGACCGCAACATCATGCCTCCCCCGTCGAAGGAGCCGGCATTCACTCCGCCTCTGCCCACCCGCGACCGCCTGCCCAATGGCATGGGTGTCACGGTAGTTGAGCAGCGGGGCATGCCCATCGTCGCCTTTGGCGTCCTACTTGGCACCGGTGCCTCCGCCGACCCGGCAGACCTCCCTGGCCTCGCCGGCCTGGTTGGAGACATGCTCCCCGAGGGAGCTGCCGGGAAGCCCAGCCAGCAGATTGCCAACGAATTCGAGTTCATAGGTGCCCGGCTGTCCGTCGACAGCCGCCGAGAATACAGCTTGCTTTCCACCGAGACACTGGCGAAACACTGGGGCAGTGCCCTGGAAATGATGGGCGAGGTGATGCTGTCCCCCGACTTCCCCCAGCATGAGCTTGACCGGGTGCGCCGGGAGCAACCCTTCCACCTATTCCTATCCCCCTAATCCTCCTCTCACGACCTGCGAAAGAAGAAGGGACCAAGGACGAACCCAACGTCGTCGCAGAGCGTCTGGTCGCCGGCCTCGCGTATCCGGTCGGCAGCGGATATGGCCACCCAATCACCGGTACCGAGGACTCGATA